AGGGTGAGGGCGAGCATGTTCTTCTGGTAGTCGACGTCCACCTCGACCTGGTCCTCGTTCTCGGTGTGGGGGATGGCGAAGCAGGAGCGCACTTCGACCTCGGTGCCATCTTCGGAGCGGACACCAACGAGGGCGCCGATAACGCGGGTTGATTGCGTATCGCGGATGTCTCTTCGCACGGCATGGTCGAGAATGGAGAGGATGGCCTGGAAGGAGTAGGTGGGGTTAGCGACGAGTAATTGGGGTTCCCCACGGGGGGTAAGCTGTATTAATGATGAATGTGTATATATGTCATGGCCTTGTTAAGGTCTATGACATGTCTCGGGTAATGATATCAGGTCCTGCAGCGTAGCAAGATGTGTCGTACCTGGGGCTGGATGTTGACGGTGAGCGGGGCAATGTTGCCTGGGATGCCAATCGTGGCCGGCGCGATGGGCCGCGACAGGTGGAGGAACTTCTCGGTTTCGGCGACAGCCATGCTGGGCAGGTTGGATCTCGGGTCGTCGAGGTTCTTTCGAAGGGGGAGACCTGCGGTTGAGGAGGAGATATCGAGAAGAGGAGGGGAGGGGGAGGGCGGGTTTCGGGTTGGTGGTGATGCGCGGGCCAAAAATTGAAGAGTGGGTTTGGGGTCTCTGGTCGGAGCGTTTTTTCGCGATAGGTCGCTTCAAAAAATCGTCGAACTCTTTCGCTTTCTCCTAGTGGGCGGTTTGCCGATTTTGCGATTTGTGGTTGGCCCCTACTGGGTTGTGCGCGCTAAGATAAGACACGATAACGGTCTCTGTGGCGGAAGTGCCCCGCTGTGGCTAGTGACTACCTAGTGTGGGATTTTCTGCAAGGCTGATATGGCCGACTTATAACTTTTTTTCCGTCGACCAAGTGAATGAGTTTTGCTTCGGTGAACAACACTTTTTAATCTATTTTTTTCTTTTGAAAGCTCATACATTGCTGTCTGTGTTTACTCAGAACTTGCACTGACAGAAAGTAAGATATAATGGGCCCAAGAGGTAGAGGTCGGGCCGGATTCCGGGGAGGAAGCAGAGGCGGTGCCCGTGGTGGTGGCAGAGGAGGTGCAAGAGGAGGCACAAGAGGGAGAGGAGGTGCGAGAGGCCGAGGTAGAGGAAGAGGAGGCAGAAGATTCGATACTGCACGTCTGGAAGAAAAAGAGTATGTTTAACCTTCCCGAACATTTTATGAAAATTTATGATAATCTAACACTGTCAGGACTTCAGATGATGAGTCCCAAGAAGAGGGAGACTCAGAGGCAGAGGAGGATTCTGATGTCTCCATGTCTGATGATGAGGATGTAGATGAGCAGCCTCAAAACACACGGCCTTATATGGCGCTCCTCCAAGGATTTAAGGAGTCTTCAGAGCCAAGTGCCAAAAGACGGAAGCTCGAGAGCGGCAGACCAGAAGCGACCGCCAAGGCCGAGTCCGAGTCCGAGTCTGAGTCTGAAGCTGGATCTGGATCCGAGTCTGAATCTGATGGCGATGAGGCCGAGGAGGAGGACAAAGATGTTGACAGGGTCGAGGAGGCTGAAGACCCAATGGCTGATTTGGAAGAGGAAGCGGAGCAGAGCGACGATGAAGACGACGTCGATGCCTCAGATCCGTTCGACAGCCACTTCGCTACCCCTGACGAAGCTGTGACGGCGAAGAGAGTCAAGGCGATCCAGAAGAATGACTGGACTTTCAAGCGAACAATGTCCAAGGTTTCAAAGGCTGTGGTGACATACCCTCAAGCGGAAGGAACGGACGCCCCGACGATCCCATCACCGATCTCCGGCTTGGATAGCCTCAAGCTCAAGCAAAAATTGCGGGAGATCGCCTCGAAGAAGATTGGCTCACTCGATACGCTGCAACGAGCGATTGCTCCGACGATATTCAATTACAACGACGTGTTGTATGATAACCGAAACATTCAGAACTCCAACGGCTTACGGCAGCTTGTATGCTTACACGCCGTCAATCACGTCTTCAAGTAAGGGACCTACCTGGACGTGACTTGCCTTGAATTTCAAATGCTTACATACAAACAGGACCCGAGACAGAGTCATCAAGAACAACTACAAACTCTCGAGAGAAGAGAATGCCGATCTCGAGCTCAGAGACCAGGGCTTCACGCGCCCCAAAATCCTATTCCTACTGCCAACAAGACAATCCTGCCTAACGATTGCAAACACAATCGAGGACATCTGCGCGCCGGACCAGCGGGAAAACAGAAAGCGCTTCGACGATGCGTACACTGACGAGGACGTCAAATTCGGAGACGACAAGCCGGCCGACTTCCGCGACCTTTTCGAGGGCAACGACGACGACATGTTCCGGATCGGTATGAAGTTCACGCGCAAGACCGTCAAGTACTTTTCACAGTTCTACAACTCAGACATCCTGCTTGCCAGTCCCCTGGGCCTGCGCATGGCCATCGGCTCTGACGAAGACAAGAAGAAGATGGACTACGACTTTCTCAGCTCCATTGAGATGGTCGTCGTTGACCAGGCTGACGCCCAGCTCATGCAGAACTGGGAGCACGTCGAGTACATTTTCGAGCACATGAACCTCCAGCCAAAGGACGCCCACGGCTGCGACTTTGGCCGCGTGCGCAGCTGGTACCTTGACGACCAGGCGAAATATTTCCGCCAAACCATCGTCCTCTCCGGTTTCAACACGCCCGAGCTCACCGAGCTCTTCCGCACGCAGTGCCACAATTGGGCCGGCAAGGTCCGCTTCCAGGCCGACTACCCGGGCGTCCTCACGCAGCTAGGCATCAAGGCCCGCCAGACCTTTTCCCGCTTCGAGTGCCGCTCCCTCGAAAAGGAGCCCGACGCGCGCTTCGACTACTTCGTCTCGGCCATCCTCCCCTCCCTCATCAAGCGCGCGAGGGACACCTCGGGCACCCTCATCTTCATCCCCTCGTACCTCGACTTCGTCCGCGTGCGCAACTACTTCTCCGCCAACCCGGCCGTCGCCGCCCTTTCCTTTGGCACAATCTCCGAGTACGCCGACGTCCCCGAGGCCTCTCGCGCCCGCTCCCACTTCATGACGGGCCGGCACAAGGTGCTCCTCTACACGGAGCGAGCGCACCACTTTCGGCGGACGCCGATCCGCGGCGTCCAGCGCGTCATCATGTACGGCCTGCCCGACAACCCAATCTTTTACCGCGAGATCGCGGGAGACTACCTCGCGCGCAGCGAGCAGGATATGAGAATCGAGCCTGGACAAGGTACCGTGCGCATCATGTTCTCAAAGTACGATGTCATGAAGCTGGAACGCGTGGTCGGCACGCAGCGCGTAGGCAAGATGATCCAGGAGAAGGGCGATACCTTTGATTTTGTGTAAGAACAAGGAGAAGGGGGCAAGATGGATGTGTTTTGCTGCCATATTATGGCAGAAGTTAAAAAGTTGTCTTTTTGGAGCTTCCGTAGTATACATGTATACCCTACACGACAGTAATCTATAGACTGGCCAGGTATTTCCCTCTTGATAATACACCATTCTTATCAGTTACATTTTCTTCTCACGCCACATCGTCCTCTCTGCTTTTGAGCAAAATTTTTGCCCCTATCCAGCAGACGACAGACCTCCTATACCGACTGGCATTGCATCAAAACAAAAGCCTCCACTCGGCTTTACGCCTTCTTGGCGGCCTTCACCTTCTTAGCCTTGACCTTGGCCCCTTCCAACAACTCCTCCTTCTTCGCCGCCTTCGCATCCGACCGGGCCGTGAGAAGCCTGAAGCTGGCCACCATGTCGTCGAACGCCGTCTTGCCGTCCTTGCGGTACCTCGTCACCTTGGCGACGTTCTTCTTGGTCAGGTCGGTGCTGCGGTGGCCGGAGTCCTTGTCGTGGGCGACGGCCTTGGCCGTCATCATGAAGCGCACATCGCGGGGCCCGTCGACGAGCTCGAGGATCGCAGAAGGCGCCTGGTCGTAGGTGCTCCGGGGCTCGGTGCGCAGCACGCGCGTGTAGCCTCCCGGGCGCTCGGAGTAGCGTGTGCGGAGCTCGCCGAAGAGCTTGGGGAGGAGGTCGTGGGGTGTCTAACGTTATATCCTTTTGTCAGTTTCGGTTCGTTCTTTTCGAACCTCGTCTCTGTTTGGGGACTAGTAGCTTCTTCCATCTTGAAGAGCTGCCGAGACCACCAGGGGTGTTTGTCCAACTCACGTAGAGAATCGCCTGAGCTTTCCGCCTCGTCTCCTCGTTGTCGCGCTTCGCGTAGGTGATGAGCTTCTCAGCGAGGCGCTGGGCCTCCTTGGCCTTAGCAAAGGTGGTGTGAATGTGCTCGTGGGCGACGAGGGAGGTGACGAGGCCGCGAAGCAGGGCCTGTCGTGCCGACGAGTTGCGGCTCAGATGCCTGTACTTGGTGAGACCTCCCGCCATGGCTGCTGTGAATGTGTTGAAGTCGTCTCAATTGAGGGAGAGAAGTCGGCGGGAGCAACCCGTTTTGTTTCGTTTCGTTTTCGTCCGTAGGCTGCAGAGGAACGGCTGCTCTGCGTGGTGAACAGGGCGGTGGACTTCGGAGCAGTTTGGGCCTATCGAATCGAATTGGATCGTCAAAAAAGCCGTGCTGATAGCCTCTGGAGTCGCTCGTTGCAATCCGTCGGCTGTCGTCTCCCAAATTTTTGGCGTAGGGTGGTTCGGAGCCTCTGGTTGGCTTAGAGGGACAATTAGGCGGGGACTGTAGTTCAGTGTTCCTGCCGCCAGGTGCTAAGGTACCTTGACCCCTGCCCGTCGCCGAAATCCACCCGGGGAGGCTGAAAGTCGCTCGCCCGCTCGCAAGCCCGATTAATTAACGTCATTCCGCACCGAAGCTGCCCGTCCCGCTTCTCGGAGGTCAATTCAGTGACAAGCGACAACGCCAATTCGATTCGACTTCCTACGACGTGCTTGCTCCAATTGCATCATGAAACCTTGAAGCCGAATATAATCTACGGAGAGGAACTATAATATCAAATCCCAGTCTTCAATTGCGCCCGTCGCATTTGGACTGGATCATCAGCCATCATGGGCTTCACCACTGGATTCGTACGCTACACTCCCTCATCCTCTCTTTCTCTCTCATTCTTTCTCTTGCACTCCAGAAACCTATGACGGAGATTTTATACACGCACTATTAGCATATCGTATAGCTAACTATCATACCTCATCAAACAGACCGGCGGTGTGACCGTAACCCTAGGCGTAGCCTACCTCACAGTCCTCGCCCACCAACGCAACCGCGAAAGCCAGTCCCACACCCTCCGCACCCAACACCACGTCCTCTCCTCCCTCCTCGAGCCCCAAATCCGCATCCCTCCGCCCCTGACCCGCGCCGAACAGGCCGTCAAGGACCGCGAGACGCTCCTCACCTCTGCCAAAGACCGTTGGAACCGCGAGGTAGAGAACGCCGTTCGCTGGGCGCAGCGCACCGACTGGGGCGAGGTGCGCGAGGGTCTCGAGAGCGGCGCCGCGCGCTTCTGGGGCGGCACCATTGAAAAGGCCGGCGAGGCGGAGCAGGCCGTCGAGAAGAGCGCCGTCCCGCTGGCCAAGGAGGCTTCGGCCAAGGGCGCTGCCGCTGCGGAGGCGACCGGCGCGGAGGTCAAGAAGGAGGCGCGCAGCGCGTGGGAGCGCGCGAGGGAAAAGAGCCTCGCTGCCGAGGAGGCTGCGCGCGCCAAGGCCGCCGAGGCGAAGAAGCTCCTCGACGCGAAAGCCGCCGAGGCCAAGAAGGTTGTCGACAGCAAGGCCGCCGAGGTCAAGGCCGTCGTCGGCGACGTGGTGGACAAAGGACGGCAGCAAGGGGAGGCGGTGCTCGTGGCGGCGAAGCAGGCGGTGGGCGTGGCCGAGGACAAGGTCAGCATCAAGGCCGACGGCGCGGTGGCGCCCGCGACGACGCCGGTACAGAAGGCGCTGCACCAGCGGTACGAGAAGCCGAGCGGGTTGACCAAAAGCGTCAAGGAGGTGCTGGCGGAGCGGTACCGCAAGATGGACGAGCAGGATAATACGCAGCTTCGGGGTATTTGATTTGCCGCGGTTTTTGAACCACCTCTCTCTCCCGATTGTCGACATGACAGACGTGGGATTGAGGGGGGCGGGAGGAGAGCGGATGGTGGGATTATTGTACTACCAACCAGACCACACATATAGAATGAAAAACGGCAAGCCTCTTCTTTTTGTTTCTCTTTTGTGGAATCGTCAGTCTTCTTCTCTGGTTCCCGCGGGCGGAAGTGGGACATGGACAGGTGTGAGTGGTACAGCCGGGCCGTTTTTACTCAGATTTCATTTGCCTATAGGTTCTATCATTCAGGGGGATCGCGGAACGGTGGACGAGATCCGAGATCGAGAAAATCGAGGCTTCGCGGAGGACAAGACAGATCAGCGTCTTCCAACCTTACCCACGATCATACTCTTATGTCGAAAAGTAAATCACCCCTTTACAGACTCGAGACTTAACGCCATCACCGACTCAAAGTACAAACAATGACCACCGCACCTCACCAACCATGCCCACGACAACATCAGCACCAAGGACCGCGAGCGACCCCCGCCCGCATCTTCATCCGCCTCCGCGACCGCGTCCAACTCTTCCTCGAACGCTTCGTCGACGGAGACACCACGGCACAAGCCGGCTTCAGAACCTACAAGGCGCACCGGGACGCGCGATGGCTCGCCAGAGATCGGGGCCTTGCGTCCGCGGCGCTGGCCGCCGTGTCGAATACCGAGGATGAGCCGAGTCGCCGCAGTAGGAAGAGGAGTGCGGCTATGCAGCAGGGTAATCTGGATGTTGCGGTTGGTGGTGGTGACGATGTCGATGAGGGGCTGGTTATTCCCAAGACTAGGGAGCAAGGCAAGGAAAAGCAGATGACGGGGATTCTAGCCCACGATTCTGGGAAACCTTCTACGTTGGAGACGACATCATCAGGCGGGAAAGAGAGACGCCAAACTAGGACCCCTTCCCAGCTGCACAGTCTCTCTAGATCAAGTACGCTCTCATCCATCGTCTCCTCGACCTTCCTGGGAGGTAGTCAGAGACAGCAGAAGAGAAGAAGGAGGAAGAGAGACAGGTCGGACGCTAGGCCGGGCTACTTTGACCCGGACCCGTCACCTGCACTCACCAAACCACCCCGCGCGCTGGCGTCGGTGGTGATGAGAGATGACGATGATAGGTTGGAGATGAATGTGCCTGTTGAGTTGGCGAAGGGGTCTTGGGGTGTTCCTGTTGGGACTGCGAGGTGATTTTATGGGAATTGGTCAGGGCACACTTCTATTTTGTCGAAACTCGGAAGTTTAGGAGGCAAGTTGTTGAGGGGTTTAGGAGGTGGCCGGTGAATTCGTCTTCCTCCACAACCCTTGATCTTTGCTTCGCTTTGGGTTCAATTCGTGATCGATGAAGGGTTCTCTCCTTTTTTCTGTAGGTCATCTTAGAATTTGCAAAAAAATAGTATGCAACGTGAAACGAAAGAAATGACCTTGATAGCCATACATATTGATTTCATTTGATGACGCAGGATCTCAAATCTCTTATCACGAACAATGCCAATATTTAACGAACGTCAAAGGCATGCTTTTTGCCTTCTTTACATTACTATCGCATAACGTATAGGAAATGGTATATAGCACAGTACCATACAGACTGCGTCTGAGATGGGGGATAGTACCAAGGCTTCTCTAAGCCTTACATTCACACCCCCTATTTTCATCCCAGCAACATGAGTCCCTTCACTCCAAGCGAGTGTGTCCAACGACAAGTCGAAACTTTTTTCTCGCGTGTCCCCCAGTATCTCTCCAAGGCAGGTCATATCTGAAGGGGGACTAAACTTACAATCAAAGGAAAAAGGTGCGCGAGGGCATGTGTTGTGATGAGGTTGTGGTTCTTTTTTGGTAAGAAAAAAACACAGTGACAATCGCACTTGGGAAAGTGTGTTTGGGTACCAGAGAGACGAAACAGCGGAGGTGAAGTGTGATAAACGCTCTTTGTGTTTGAAACTCATTCTTGCAACCCATAACTTCATCCGATCAAAGTCCTAAGAACGCCTTCGCTGGGTTAGGGTGTACATACTTACCAGGGCCAAGACCCATCTCAACAACGCACCTGTAGCACCTTTCGCGCCGAGCCCCAAGACCAACTTGACCCAGTAACCCACCCCGCGGGCCTGAATACCATTGCGGTCAAAGTCGGGCTTGTCATTTGTCATGCCTTGAAGGCGCTTGAGCTCCTTGGGGGAGTACGGCATGTAGCGAACACGGATGAATTTCTCCAGCCACGAAGGAGTCTGCGCGACGGAGCGACGGTGGGTGAAGGCGTCGAAGGACGCGCGACCGCGGTAGTTGCCCGTGCCGGAATCACCGACGCCGCCGAAGGGGACAGTCGACATGGAGGCATGGAAGAAGCCGTCGTTGATGGTGGCACCGCCAGAAGTCACCTCGTTGAGGACTTGCAGCAAGTTAGTATGGTCACCTGTCTACAAAACAATGGGCTTTGCTTACTTCGCTTGCTCTCCTGATCATTGCCAAAAGCGAAGAGCGCCAGAGGCGTCCTGTATACTTGGTTCGCAATGTTGATTGCGTCGTCGAGGGTATCATACGGCATGATGGCGAAAACTGGGCCGAAAGACTCATCCTTCATGACGGAGTCGAGCATGGAATCGACCAGCACGGCGGTGGGCTCAATGTAGAGCTGGTCCTCGTCCAAACCACCACCCATGACAATCTTTCCGTTCGTCTCGTCAATCATCTTCTTGATGCGTTGGAAAGACTTCTTGTTGACAATACGAGAGAAGTCAGGGCTGTTCTTGGCGCCGCTGGGGAAGAACTCCTTGTAAGTAGCGTTGAGGCCCTGGATGAGTTGCTCGACGATGGCACGGTCGGCCAGGATATAGTTCTGAGAAATGCAGACCTGGCCGGCGTTGAGGCACTTTGACCACATGAGACGGCGAGCGGCGAGCTTGACGTTGGCGTTCTTGGTGACGAAAGCCGGGTTCAGACCACCCAATTCGAGGGTGACGGGCGTGAGGGTCTCAGCGGCCTTCTTGGAGATGATCTTACCGACGGCAGTGCTGCCCGTGTACATGATCTTGTCCCACTTGACGTCAAGAAGAGCCTGAGTCTCCTGGACAGCACCGTTGATGACGGTGTAGGCCTTGGGGTCAAGAGCAACCTCGAAGATCTTGGTCAGGACCATGGCGGTGGCTGGGGCGCTCTCGGAAGGCTTCAAGACGGCGGTGCAGCCGGCGGCGATGGCGCCGATGATGGGAAGAAGGGTCAACTGGACGGGGAAGTTGAAAGCGCCGATGACGAGAACCATGCCCAGGGGCTCCTTGCGGATGCGCGGCTTCAGGGCGGCGTAGGTGAGAGGCACATCCTCGCACTTCTCCTCGGCGGCGAACTTGCTGAGGTTCTTGAGCATGTAGAGACAGTCATTGGCGCACCAGTCGACCTCGGAGAGGACGGCCTCGTGCTTGCACTTCCTCAGGTCCTTCCGCAGTGCATCGCAGAGCTGTGGGGAGTAGTCCTTGATGGCCCAGTAGAGCTTACGGAGCTGGAGGGTGCGGTACTTGAGATCCTTGGTCTTGTTAGAGCGGAAGGTGGCGCGGATGGTGTCTGTGAGGCGGTAGATGTCGTCGGTTGAGGTGTGAGTGAACTCGGCGATCTTTGTGTCGGTTGCGAGCGACATTTTGATGGCGTTGAGATGTGCGGTTCTTCAGTGTGTAAGGGACGGTGCTTCTTTCCTGGACTTCCTTTGTTGCGATGAACCGGACCTAGGGAGAGGAGAGATTCGTGAGGGGAAGTTGGCAATGGTCGGGATTCGGGGTCGCGGAAAAGAAGAGAAGGTGGTGTTGGTGGTGGTAGATAGAGTTGTAAGGGTTGCCTCGACTTATGTAGTCCGAGTAGCAAATATCAGCAGCCAAGCCGATGCAGAGGGCGTCGGTAGCTTTGTAGGGGAAAAGTGATGGATGCGACAGAGCTCCACCTGTGCTCGGCCTCCGTGTCGCGTGGGTGTGATGGATAGGTACCTTAGTTCGTACGCGAAGTGAGGTACTGTGTAGCAAGGTAGAGAGGCACCTTGAATGTGCGGGTAGGGACTTCCGGGCTTAGAAACCTCGGCGCATGAGATGGCCTAACAGGCGAGGTATCTTATTAAGGAGAACGTAGGAAAAGGTCAACCGGGTCCTTGGGATAAGCTGAATCTTTTATTGATTGTCAATTTCTCACTTCTGGGACGTGGCCAGCAATATTGTTATCCCGTGGGTGGCGCGGAAAATGAACTATCTGCAGTATTATGGGTGCAATGGCTGATGGCGGGACTTGTATGATGCGAGTGCGAGTGGTGATGTATTACTTGTCTGACCCGTACAGCAGAGAGAGGGGACGGGATACCTTAAGGTGAACGCTGGTGAGTGCAGGCAGGGGGGAAGGGAGGCAAATGCGCTGCACTGCACGTTGGAAACGAACTCGTTTCCCCAAGAAGGCGCGGGCAGGGAAGCTACGGGAACGGTGCGGTGCGCTAGACGCATGTGAACGGCACCCAGCAGCACTGCTATCCTTCCTTTCCCCTTCATGGTATACCTTACTAAAGGTCAGGTAGAGAGTACTACGACAGATCCGTAGCGAATGGCGCCGCATAATAGGACGGACAGGGAAAGGAGGCATAGATGTCCCGACGGAGCGGGCTGCGACGGGGACACCGTCCCGTCCTGTCCATGTCCTGCGTTGTGGTCCATCTGCCAACGCTCTATCTTTTCCATAAGTAACTATTGCTATCGTGGTCGTGGAAGCTCTTCGTTCTTCTCTAGTTTGTTCCATGCCCCAAACTAGAGAATCAACGAGCTGTCTTTTGAAGAGACTAATAGCTTCAGGTGAACCGTCCATCCTCACGGTCCATGTCAGATAACACTTAACAAGATTGACGAGCGCATGCTTGAGCTTTGAGGTTTCCTTAGCTAAAGTCCGAGGCAAAAAAAGCTTGGGAGCTCTAGCCAGGTCGTGCCAGGCTAACTTGGTTAAGACGGGATCACCCAAGACGGCGCCGCCGCTCGCCAATCCCGGTGCTCCGTTTCTTCCCCACATAGGTACAGGGCGCCACCCCCTGCCCATTTGCACCTGCACGATCTGGTCCCAGCCTGCCGTGCCTGCAAAAATTGGTGAGCAGGACATAAGAGGAATAAATTAGAAAAAAGTTGCCGAGGCATCATCACTCAAGACGTCTCCATCAATACGGCTGACTAAGGTAGACGCAAGCAATCCCTGTCCTCGAAAAGGCGCGTCTATTTTCCTAACTCATGTTTAGGTCAGGTCCCCCTTTTTGGTCTCAATGAATATGATTTAACCCCATTGTTTCTCTAAAGCTCGATTGGGCAAAATAGTCATGGCCGCGGAAAGCGGGTGGGTTCCATCCCGGATTGCTGTTTAACGAAATATGCATATTTGAATGTCATTGACGGCGGCCGATTTGTTTATTAATCAGACGAGAATAGGTGTGCCAAACAAAGGACTGTAACCCTCAAACTTTTCGGTCGTCAGTACAAGCTTCTAGTCGTATAAGCTTATGGCACAATGGAAATGATGAGAGGATGGCGTCAGCAATTCGTGGTTACCGCCCATATTTGACAAGCTCTTCCCATCAGCCAGCATTATCCTCCAACCAAGCCGCTGCCAACGAGAAAGCCTTGACTTGTCACATCATATAACATTGATACGGGCATCTAAACGCAAGCCACCGTTGTTTCTTGAATTTCTATAATTCCGATCTGGCACGGATGTATACATGGAGATGTTACAAGGGCAGGCCAAAGTCCCATGAACGGGACCACGCCGCCTAGTCATACACAAGGTTTCTGGTTCGCCCCCGACCAAGTCTGATAAAACAGATATTGGACAAGAGGCACGCCGAGGCTGCGGCACTCAAGCCGAGCAGTGGTATTGGGTGATGGTGCAAGTACGATCTAACCCTCTACCGACGGCCGAGACCCTTTTGCTTGTTACCGCCCCGGCCCCGGACAGCCACCATCTCGGCCACCTTGCCCTCCGTCTCGGGCGGCGGCGCCGCGAGGAACTGCTCAATCTTCTCCGTGCCGTCGATGACCTGGCCTTCCTCCAGCTTGCCGGCGTCGATCTCGAGCGCCCGCAGGCGGAAATCGTCGAGCTCCTTGCGGCGCTCCTCGTTCATGCGCCACTCCTTGGGAAACTTGGGCTTGTTCTTGAAGACGTGGTGCCGTGTGTCGAGGGGGATGTCCTTG